CAAATGTGAGATGAATGAAGTTTGCTAGTGATTTTTCCACATAGGTCTTGAATACCCCTGAGTGTGGAGACTACTCAACATTGGAACACAAACCTTTGAGGAATGTCTGAGGGAGCTGTGGTTGTTTAGCCTGGAGAAAAGGAGACTCAGGGGTCACCTTATCACTCTACAATTCCCTGAAAAGTGGTTGTAGCCATGTGGAGGTTTGTCTTTTTTTCCAGCCAGCAACTGACAGAACCAGAGGACAAAGTCTTAAGCTGCACCAAGGGAAATTTTGGTTGGATGTTAGGAAAAAGTTTTTTATGGAAAGAGTGATAAAATACTGGGATGATATGCCCAGGGGGGTGGTGGAGTCACCATCTCTGGATGTGTTTAAAGCAAGACTGGATGTGACACTCAGTGCCATGGTTTAGTTGAGTTTTTAGGGCATGGGTTAAACTCAGTCTTAAAGGTCTCTTCCAATCTAGTGATTCTCTGATTCTGTGATCTCTAGAGGTGTTATTTAAAATTAGCTGACCTCATCAAGAAAATGTTTCGCAGCCATGGAAGAGACAAGACTAAGGGATGTGCACAGCAAAAGGACACGTGGGAAGAGTCTTACCTGGAAACAGGGACACTCGGACTGAAAATAAGGAAATAAACGTGACTCTAAGGGGTGTTCGGGACAGGCAGAAGGGCGAGACCGTGGGGAATCTCCACCCTTGCTGTTGTTGAGAAATCACTTGCAGATGGCTGTATGTAAGCTGGTCATGTTTGGAGGTAGCTCTGCTGTGAACAAGGCCTTGGACTAGGGAGGTCCCTTCTGCAGTAAATCGTTCGGTCAGTAATTCTAAGGAAGATTTAAAAGCCTTTGTAATTCTCTGCCTGATTTCATCCTTTGTCCAATTTAAATGAAAAAGTGTTATCATTAAGTCATGCGTACAATAACTTTGATAATTTCTTGGACTTTTATAAACACCATTTCCCAATTTCTCTACAGGATCTCAATCATTACAAATGTTTTACTACTAAGAAAAGAAAAGAAATTAGCTGAGTGCATATATATTTTACACCTTAAAGTGAGACATTGCAAGAATCTTCAGTGTCAGAAACTAGGAAATTATATAAACAAAGAGGTTCTTGCATCTTTAATTTTTTCCCATTGTCTGAAACCACTCCATAATCTTAATTTCTTTCTATATATGTGGCATTTTTCCACTGTGCTTCACAACATTCAGGTGTTATCCACTACACGCCCAAGAAGCAGCTAGAAAGGCACTATTCTTCTACCCTTTAATGCCACAACCATAAAACAATCAGCCTTAGCTGTAAAAATTCTAAAGCTTTAGCAGAAACTTCTGTCCACACAACCCTACACAGTAGGATAGGGTAGATTTCCTCCTCAGTCACCCGCAGAAAGCACAGGATTTTGCTGGTATTTGGAGCTAGATAGACTCATTGTGCTGATATTCAAAATTTTCAAGTGTTGCAAAAGAGGTACTGTAGATGTAAAAAGAGGAACATGAAACGAAAGACTGGGACCTGAAACCACGGCAAGGTTCACTGTCTTGCTGAATTTGCACATCCTACAATCACAAAATCCCAGAATGATTTTGGCTGGGAGAGGTCTTAAACACCATCCAGTTGCAAGCCCCTGCCACGAGCAGGGACCCCCTCCACTAGACCAGCTTGCTCAAAGCCCCATCCAGCCTGGCCTCGGACACTTTGAGGGATGGGGCAACCACAGCTTCTCTGGGCAACCCGAGCCAGTGACACCTCCCCCTCATCACAAAAATATGCTGTCAAATGTATGATTTCAATCTCCCCTCTGTAGGTTTCAAAGGTGCCAGTAAAAACCTGCAGAGCTGCATGCAGTATACTCCAGGTGGGATCTCAGCACAGTGGATTACAGGGGAAGAAGCCTCTCCCCTGACCTGCTGACACCACCTTTGGCAGCCCAGGATGCGGCTGGCTTTCCAGGCTGCGTGCTCACAGCGCTGGCTCGTGCCCAGTTTTCCGTCCAGCACTGTCCCCAGTTCCTTGTCAGCAGGGCTGCTCCCAGTCTGTTCATCCCCAAACTGATCTGATCCTGCAGATCAGGAGGTGCAGGCTTTGCTGGACCCGTGTTGGCTGTCTCCAATGACCCCCCTGCCCTCCATGTGCCTACAAATACCAACACAGAAGTGAAAAATGCAGGAAGCAGTTTGAGATGTGGGATTGTTAGCCACATGCCCACGAACGGCCTTGTCAGCATCAATGGAAATCAGTAAGAAGGGGTGCCCCTCCAGGGTCCCTACTGGCACCAGCAGTGCTCCATGTCCCCATCAGGGGCCCAGGCAGTGGGGTCGAGCGCACCCTGGGCACGTTTGCAGGTGACTCCCAGCTGAGGGGCGTGTTTGATAACGCTGAGGGAAGGGACATTGCAGAGGGACCTTGGCAAGCTTCAGCACTGGCACCGTGAGC